CTCTTCAATACTTTAAAAAGTTCCTGTGCAGCAGATTTGCCCAATGCAATACTTCGTCTTACCTCTTGACTGCTGCTTCCACGAGTGTTGATACAGCCTTGGAAATCCTGTATCTGTTTCTATGAGTTGGAACCGACTCTATGGCACATAACCACCACCACAAAAACACTATTTTCAGGGTCTCTAAGTTGAAACTGACTTGATGGTACTTTAACAACAAATTGTCATAATGAAAGGACAAAAGAGGGAGGGGGTTTTTAAATAGCTACTGCATAAAGGAAAGATCTATGGCTCATATCCTATTGCTAATTCCTTCCTACCATCAACCCTGAAGAGAACGGGTCACATGAGAGAGTTCCTTTAGGCAACAAGTTAGCAAAGCTAAGAACAGAAACATCAAAGACTATATGAGAAGTTAATTTACAATTAAACTGGATTCAGATGACCTTAATATTATAAATTACTGATACTGCCATTGCCTATGTTATATATACTGTTACATAAAGGCAAGTTAGTAGAAATATTTTCTATATGAACCTTATGAGTCTCTATGAAACAAACCTACACTAGCTTCTTAGGGACCTCTTTGAAATGGCGTGAAGAGAACAAAGCAGAACATCATTTATGTGTGATTTTAAGTAACAAAAAAATTCTTTGCAAAGCTAAAATGTTTTATATGTATGTAAGTATTTCTCAGTTTCCAGGGAAACTGATATAAAATTGTGTGAAATAAAAAGATTAAAAGCAAACTTTCAATATGCCTATACTTCACATTTGGTGTTTTGACCTTGTTTCTATGGAAACTTAGACTAAGAATTTGCAATTGCAATCTGAGGCTTCTCAAATTTTTATAATTTGAATATAAAAAAAAAAATTATCCTGTAAATTAAGTTTAAAAAGTAAGTGCTATTGTCATTTGTCAACTTTTCTAACGTAACACTCATCATTATATCCTGTGCCTAATGTTTGGTTATAATGATGAGTGTTAAGTTAGAAAAGTTGACAAATGACAATAGCATTGTGCCTAATGCTTGGTGGAGCCCTGGTGTGGCGCTGTGGGCTAATGAGTCTGACTGCAAACTTGTATGAATTGCAACGTTGTGGTTCAAGCTCACCAGCTGCTCCTTGGAAATCCTATACAGGGTCACTATGGGTTGGAATTGACTAGACAGCACTTAACAACAACAACAATGTTTGGTACCTTAGATAAGGTTTCTTCTAATGTTCCTCTGTCCAGGCATCCCCTGAGTTTCAGTTCATAGTCACCATTACAAAATTTTAAACTTTATCAACCCATGTACCCAACAGTTGTAGTGAAGTACTCTGTAGTTGATTTTGATGCATAACAACCCTGTATAGGGTTTCTGAAGAATGGCTGATCTTGCAGTTCAAACCAACCTTATGGTGGAGAGACTATCCTACAGCGCCATACCAGGACTTTATCTTGAGGTCAGCAGTCCAGTAACAGAGTCCCGGTGTAGTGCTGCAGGTTAATATTGTTGTTGTTAAGTACTGTCAAATTGATTCTGGCCCATAGCGACCCTGCACAGGGTTTCCGAGGAGCATCTGGTGAGCATGAACCGCCAACTTTGTAGTTCAAATGGCTTTGCAGTCTGGCGCATTCACCCACAGTGCCACACCACTGCAAAGTCGTTTTGAACAGCAAGTTTGGTGGTTCAAGCTCACCATCTGCTCCTCAGAAATCCTATACAGGATCACTATGAGTCGGAACCGACTTAATGGCACTTAACAACTGCAAAACATAAAGGCAGGTGATTTCTGTCACTTCTCTTATTCTTATCCATTGTATTGAATGTATCAACATGGGATGGACAGGTAAATGTAGCTTCTAAGTTTTGTAAAACACACTTTGAATGAAACTACTTAAGAGTGCCTACTCTTCAAATAAAAGCATGAATAAGTTCCAAAAGGTACTTATTTATTGTAAAATGTAAATTGCATGATAAATTTTTAAGCCTTCCAAGGTGGTAAATATACCACTTCCATGTCAGTATAAGCCCTGATTCTGAGGTTGTGGCACAGCCATTTCAGAACTAACTCTCAGTTTCTTCATCAGCAGTACAGGGAGAATACACATAAGCCTTGTTTTGTAGCTGAAAGGGCCAAATAAGATGTACATGGAAATGAATCATGAATACTACAGAATTATTTAATTCCTAATTTTGGTCTGTCATCCAACACTATTCATCTACTAACTGGTTTGCAAAACACACTCGGCGGCTGACCTCACAGCACTGAGCAGATAGGTTCAGTTTGGGTTTAAAGGTACCATTAATTAATTCACACCACCGATTTGTTCATTCTTTCACAATTTTTTTAGTATTCTAAAAAGGGAGTACACTTTCCAGTTACAAAGTCACACCCACAGACTAACATAAAGAAACTAAGAGCCCAACTAAATTTTAAACAGAAGGGCTATAAGCCTTTTCCGAGTCCTGGTGTGACACTGTGGGTTAATGTGCCAGACTGCAAAGCCACTTGAACTGCAAGGTTGGCGGTTCAACCTTACCAGCTGCTCCTCAGCAACCCTATGCAGGATCACTATTGGTTGGAAGCGATTCAACGGCACATAACAACAACATAAGCCTTTTCCTCTATAGCAATGGAATGATCCCAGGCATTTAAATGAACCAAAAGGACCAAAGGGATTTAACATCTTTATGAAACAATGTTTTCTACTTCAAAGCCACTTTCAAAGGACAATCTTCATTAGTTACCACTGTTGCTCAGAATTATTTTTATCTAGATTCACCCCTTTCCAAAATTTTACTGGCAAAAATAAAGTATGAATAAAAGCTTAAAAAATAAAATCAAGTTTTTCCTCTCCCTCCTCCCCTACCTAGTCCAGAGGTTTAGTCTAAAGAACCTTTACCTCAACATTCCTTCAGTAGAACAGGATCCTATACAGGGGAGGGGGGAGGAGGGTAATAAGTGGGGAAAGGGTAGATAAAGGTACAGACACAGGCTCAAGCAAAGTCTGCCATCTTCCAAAGTCCTTACGTTACAAACTAACATCAATTTTGATCAACATTTCATGATCCACGTCCCCATCCCACTTTAGAACAGGAAACTTAGATGAAGTCTATTAAGCCACCGCAGTACGGCTTGGGACATATTTGTGTCAAACTGATTAAAATGCCATGAGTTCTCCTTTGGATAGAAAACTATTCCCAGATTCCTGACAGTAATATTTTCAAACTTTCAGTTGCTTTGGGCAGCTCCTAGCCATTCACCACCCTCCGATTTTTTTTTCCTTTCATATTTAGAGCGGTATTGGAAAGAATAAAGTCGTTTCTATCGAGACAACTTAAACATCAGTCTACTTAAGAACACAAGCAGGTTCTGTTTGGACTCTCCTATGCCAACCTCTATTCTGAATTGCCCGAGGATCAAGAGCCTAACAGGCAAGAGGAAGGGAGCAGGTCAGGTTCTGAATGGCTCCCTCACTTAGGTACCATCTAGATAAGAGGGGAGGGAAATGAGACCGATACTCCGAAGTTGTGGAATTTGGGGTTCCATGGATAAAAGGGAGACAAGATCGTATCCAAAAGTCTTGACAAAGTCCCACGGGACATAAACCCACAAGCATGAAGGGCCTCGGACTGGAGGGTCTCAGGTTGGGCCGGGGGAGTGGGGAAAGGGACCAAGGACGGGGCAGCAGACCTTACGGGTGGAGGGAAAGGAACAGAAACCGACCGGACGCGGCGAGGCATGAACAAGGGCGAGTTAGCGTGTGTCCACGGAGCCGGCCCGGGGCAGGAAGGAGCCCGAGGCGGTCACCTCCCGGGGGACCCTCAGGGCATCGGAGGCCAAAGGCGGGTCCGAGGGTAGCCAGCGCCCGCCGCCTCTTTACCTTCAGGCATCTCCCGGTCACTGATGTGCTGCAAGTGGTGGCCCTCGCCCGCTCCTAGGTCCAATTCGGGGGGCTCCACGGCAGCCGGTGCCGGCGCCACGGCTACAGCCACCGCGTCCCCGGCCGCTGCTTCATACACCTCCGACTGATAGTCCGGCTCTGCCGGCCCCGTGCGCCGGCCCAGCTTGGGGCTGGCATTGGGGGACACGCAACAGGTCAGCGTGTTCCCCATAGGGCGCCTCCTCTTCTCTCCGCTGCCGCTCGCCCCCCGACTCGGCCGGGCTCAGCACTCGCCCCCTCCCCCAACAATGGCGCGTCCGGCCCCGGCAGCCCCGGACTACGCCGGGGCTGCACCGCGCATGCAGGAACCGCCTCGCCGCTGCTCGCCCGGCCCCGGCAGGGCTCCGGCCCCGGCTGTTTCCCAGCCGCCGCGCAGCCACAGCCTCCTCCGAGCCGACTCGTCTGCGAGGGCGGCGACCAGCACGGCTTATTTAAAAGGGGTGGGGACCCAACAAGCGCAGAGAGGCGCAGCCACTGCCGGGAGAGAGCGCGGCCGGAGCTCCTCCTCCTTCCGCCGCCGCCTCCACACTGAACGCCGGTGTCTCTGGCCGGTGTCTGCCAACCGGAACACGTCCAGAGGTCACATGGTTAAGAGGAGCCAATCATAGCTAAAGTATTTTCCTCGTGCCCGCCTCGGTACCTTGACACGTGACTCATAATGCCCCGCCCCCATCTGGCACACCCGCCCCGCGACTGCTCCGCCCCTCCGCGCGGCGTGTCCAGAACTCTGGTTTCCATTCACTACTTGCTACTCTGAGCTTTCCGGTTCTTCCGACAGCGGCGCGGGAGCTTTATAATCCAGGCAGAGCAGCCCTTGACTTGAGCATTCCCTAGAACGTCCGTTCGAATAGAGTTGGCTCTGTCAGCAAGTCGGTTTCTCCCGGTCTGCCAACTTTCATTAGATGCATTGCTCACTGAACTTGTTACAAACTCTAATGGGTTTTGTAACTAAATGCTCCTCCTTTTCTGCCTTCAAGAGAACGTTAGTTTTCGCCTGCTGATGGCCATAGCAAGCCCTGGAGCCCTAGTCCTTCCCTCCTAAAGAGCAGTGACTGTTTTGGGTGGAGACCCACAAACACTTCTAGGTAAAGCAGGGACTGAACTCTTCCTTCCCAGCTCTAAACTTGGGGATCCACTAACCCTTCTTAATCGCTTCTTCTTTCTCTGTCTACACCAGGAATTCCAGGTGTTCCTTCTTTTGCCCACACAATGAATTTTGTGTGGTACTATTTTCTCATACAAATTTTTATTGTTATTAGGTTCCGTGGAGTGGCTTCCGACTTAGCGATCCTATACACAACAGAATGAAACAGGTCCTGTGCCATCATTACAATCATTATTACACGAGCTCATTGCTGCTGCCACTGTGCCAATCCATGTCATTAGTGGGTCTTCCATTTTTTCGCTGACCTTCCACTTTACCAAGCATGATATCCTTCTTCAGGTACTGGTCTGTCAGTAGGGACCAGTCGCTGGAGAAGGATATCTATCATGTTTGGTAAGGTGGAGGGTCTGGTAGCGTAGTGATTACGAATCGGGCTGCAAGCCTTAAGGTCAGCAGTTTGAAACTACCAGCCGCAGCTCCGTGGGAGAAAGATGAGGCTTTCTACTCCCGTAAAGGTTTACAGCCTCGGAAACCCTATACAGGGTCACTATGGGTCGGTACCGACTCGACGGCACTTAACAACAACAACAAGAAGATGGAGGGTCAGAGAAAAAGAGGAAGACTCCCAGCGAGATGGACTGGCAATATGGCATCATCAATGGGCTCAGGCGTGGCAACAATTGTTAGGTTGGCCCAGGACCAGTACCGCTATGAATCGGTACCGACTCGATGGCACAACAACATAAGAGAAGAAGTCTTGCCATTCTGGCTTCTAAGGAGCATTCTGGCTGTTGTTCTCCCAACACAGATTTGTTTTGTTCTTCTGGCAGGCCATGGTACTTTTAATATTCATCTTTAACACCATAAGTCAAATGCATCAATTCTTCGATGGTCTTCCTTATTCATTGTCCAACTTTTACATCCATATGAGGCTGTTGAAAATACCATAGCTTAGGTCAGGTGCACTTTAGTCCTCAAACTTACATCTTTGCTCCTACAAACTAAAGAAATCTTGTGCAGCAGACTTGCCTAGTGCAATATGCCATTTGATTTCTTGACTGCTGCTTCCATGAATGTTGATGGTTGATCCCAGCAATATGAAGTCTTTGACAACTTCAGTCTTTTCTCCATTGATATGGACATTGTTTATTAGTCCAGTAGTTATGATTTTTGTTTTCTTTACATTGAGGTGCAACCCATAGCCGAGGCTGTGGTCTTTGATCTTCATCAGTATTTTAAGTCCTCTTTGCTTTTAGCAAGCAAGGTTGTATCATCAGCATATTGCAGGTTGTTAATGAGTCTTCCTCTGATCTTGATACCACATTTTTCTTCATATAATCTAGCTTCTGATTTTACTCAGCAAACAGATTGAATAAATATGTTGAAAAAATACAACCCTAAAGTACACTTTTCCTGATTTTAAACCATCCAGTGTCCACTTGTTCTGTTCAAATGATTGCCTCTTGGTCTATGTACAGGTTCCTCATGAATACAATTAAGAGTCTTTAATGCCCATTCTTTGCATTGTTGTCCATATCTTGTCATAATCCACACAGTCAAAGTCTTTGCATATTCAGCAAAGCACAGTATTCTCTGCTTTCAGTCAAGATCCATCTGATGTCAGCAGTGATATCCCTCCTTCCACATCTTGTTCTGAATCTGGATTGGACCCCTGACAGTTCCCTGTCAGTGTACGGTTGCAGCCATTTTTAAATTATCTTTAGCAAAATGTTACTTGTATGTGATACAAAGTAGGGCAACCTTCCTCATCTGATGAAGATGATTATGAATAGTTAACATTTGCCAAGAAATGTACTCATTTAATCCTCAAAAATAACCTGCATTTTACATTTTATAGATTTTACAGATGCCGTTTTCAGAAGAAATTGGGATTCAGGAGTTAACTTCCAAAGTCACATGACTACTCAATATTTTGGAAAAATTGCTTCCACATAATCAGGATATCCACAAGTACCTTATCTTGATTGTCAGAAAATAAACATGAGGCAAAGTGACATTGTGTATTGGGTCTTGTTTGTTTTAAAGGAAAAATCATTTTGTTGTGAATTTCAAAATGCTTTTCCTTCATTCAACAAACTGTTAAGCACTCTATTTCATGCCCCCAAATTGGCATTGAACCTACATGTTGTTGTTGTTAAGTGCCATCGAGTCTGTTCTGACCCATAGAGATCCTGTATAGGGTTTCTGAGGAGCAACTGGTGGACTTGAACTGCCAACCTTGCAGTTCAAACTGACCCATAGCACCATACCAGGCTCAAGGTGACTACATGGTAGAGGTCTGAAAGTGAAGAGGACTTAAAACATTTATTGATGAAGATCAAAGAGCACAGCCTTCGGTATGGATTACATCTCAATGCAAAGACAACAAAAATCCTCAACCACTGGACCAATAAACAACATTCTTATCAATGGAGAAAAGATTGAAGTTGTGAAGGACTTCATTTTTCTTGGATCAGCTATTAACACTCATGGAAGCAGCAGTCAAGAAATTAAATGACGTATAGCATTAGGCAAATATGCTGCACAAGACCTTTTTAAAGTGTTGAAAAACAAAGATGTCAGCTTGAGGACTAAGGTGTGCCTGACTCAAGCCTTGGTATTTTCAATAACCTCATATGTATGTGAAAGCTGGACAGTGAATAAGGAAGAACATAGAAGAATTGACACATTTAGTTATGGTGTTGGAGGAGAATATTGAAAGTGCCATGGGCTGCCAAAAGAACCAATAGATCCATTTTGGAAGAAGTGCAGCCAGAGTGCTCCTTGGAGGCCAAGATGGCCAAACTTTATCTCTCATACTTCAGACATATTGTCAGGAGGGACCAGTCACTGGAGAAGGATATCATGTTTGTTAAGGTGAAGGGTCAGAGAAAAAGAGAAAGACTCCCAATGAGATGGATTAGCCAAGTGGCAGCATTAATGGACTCAAGCATGGCACCAGTAGTGAGGCTGGCTCAGGATCGGGCTGTGTTTCGTTCTGCTGTGCATAAGGTCACTATGAGTCGGTATTGACTCGATGGCACCTAACAACAACAACCCACCTAGGGGCACCTTTGAGGAGCCCTGGTAGCGTAATGGGTTACATGTTGGGCTGCTAACTGCAAAGGCAACAACAGTTCAATCTACCAGTCACTCTGTGGAAGAAAGATGGAGCTTTCTGCTCTTATAAAGATTTATAGCCTTGAAAACCCTATATAAGGTTGATATGCAGGTTGGAAACAACTCAACAGCAAACAGTAACAAGGCCTGGCCTGATCTGCTTTCAAAAAAGTCACAGCCTTGAAAACTGCTATGGTGCAGTTCTACTCTGCACACACTGATAGGGTCACTACTAGTTGGAGTCCATTCAACTCAATGGCATCTAGCAACCATGTGTGCCAGGCACTATATGTATGAATGCATTCACAAGGATGAACAAAGAAAGGTTTAGTATGTCCTAGTTCACACTGCTGGGGAGTGGTTAACCTGGGATTCAAACCTAGATCAATCTAATCCCAAAGTAAAAATGATGTATTTAACCCAGCAAAGACGCTGGGTTAAAGAGTTGAGCATTTATCTTGGAACTATGGTACTCTTTCAAAGATACAAAGTTGAATGTCTGTCATATGGTTTGTAGAGAAGTCAATCTGGGCAATCAGGAATTGAAGGAAGCAACACGACCAACTCTATTTATCTAGGGGATAGTGAGGGCTCACATTAAAGACAGTGCTAGGGACTGAAGAGGAGGGAATCATTTGTGGTCATTTGGAAGGTCGAATAGGAAGTGCTTAGTGACTGGATGGGAGTCCTGGTGTGGTGCAGTAGGATAAGCACCGGACTGCTAACCACAAGGCTGGCAGTTCAAATCCACTAGCTGCTCCTTGGAAACCCTACACAGGGTCACTATGAGTCGAAACTGACTCAATGGCACTTATCAATAACAACAACAGTGACTATATATTAGGGAGAAAGGAAGGGAAGCAAAAATGGCTACTAGGTCAACAGTTCAAACCGAATTCTTGGAAACCATATATGGGGTTTGAGTTGGAACCAAACCAATAGCATTT